TGTGTGGCAAGGAGGGGGCTGGGCCCACATGTGCTGAGGCCCAGTCCCAATTGCGTGCTGGTTCCCTCGGCTCCCCATCACAGTGTCATAGTGGACGGGGCCCCGAGGTGCCTCTGTGCCAAGCGCCTGAGTCCTGCTGAGCTGGCATACCTCCGGTTGAGGCACAGAAGCCCTTTCTGGTCGGGGTCCTTCTCTGGGGCCTGCCTTTTCCCATTGGGCTGGAGCAGGGCCTTGCAGGGTGGGAGGGGCCTTGGGTCTGTGGGAATGTGAGCTCCCAGCTCTGTAAACAGATGGTGACTCACCGCGCAGCTATGCCCTGGCCGCTCCAGGCCCTCATGTGCTGACGTGCTCTGAGTGTGAGCTGGGATGACACTGCTGCCCCACCTGGACATAGAAAAGTTTCTCATGGCTCTCCCGGCTGCCTGGCAGGGGGCCTCTCTAGTTCAGCTTAGACAGGCACCGGAGGGCAGTGTGGGGCTGTGGAGCACTTGGGTCCCCTCCAGATGCTGGGGGTCAAGCCACTGTCAGGAAGCAGCTCTTGCCTCCCTGCTAGGATCGCCCAGACTGCTGTGTGTATGTTTCAGGTACACATACGCAACTGAGTGAGGGGTGCAGAGAAGCCCGGGGTCCTTGGTGGTCACACCTACCTGGCCTGTGGCTGTCCGGCTCTCCGGCCTCCAGCATCAGCACCAGGAGAGCTGCGGGTTGAAAGGGGTGACTCGTCCACAGGCCTGGGTGCTGAGCCTCTCTGTTGCATTTGCAGCCTCTGGTAGTAAGGGCTGGGTGGCCGTCAGAGGCAGGGTAGCACTACCGCGAGGGTCCCAGGACTGCAGGTGTGGGCAGGTGGGGTAGAGACACCCCAGCCTTGCTCCTGCGAGATGGGGCTTTGATGGGGTTCCATCTCAGCTTGAAGATCCCCCGGCTGTGTTTCTCTGATGCTGTCTGCTCAGTTTACCTCGTCTGGCATTTGGAACATGGGGGGCAGGCCCTGATCCTGTAGGGCAGGGGCACAGTGTGCAGGGAGCCTAGTGCCTATTCCCTCTGGCCTCCCGGGAGTTGTTCCTGCCCCACAACCTGTGATATCTGCACTGACCCCCCTGAAGCCATTGTTGCTGTGGGCTTCTGTGTTGCCATGGCGACCATCAGGGGTTGGCTACTTCCCAAGGTCGCCATGGCAACTATCAGAGGGGAATCATGCTTGGGATGCTTTGGCTGGCTTTTTCATGAATGATTAGAATGTGTGACACAATGCAGACGCGAAAATGAGAAGGGCGGGCGGGCAGCGGAGACAGCTCCTGCCAGACAGTTGCTGAGCTCTTGAGGTGGCAGCTCCCCACCTCCTGTCCGCTGGCTGACATAGGGAGCCCCCTGCCCTGTGGGTCCCGGGTCATGGCCGCGGGTGGCCTCGGTGGAGGCAGTGACGTCACAGCTGCTTGCCCAAGGCGGAGGCAGGTCTGCTGGGGTGGGCAGGGCTAGGCGCAGGGCCCCACCCTTCCCTCCTTGGGGTGAGCTTGGTGGGGCAGGGGCTCCTTGAGGGCCCCTCCTGTGAGGAGTCAGCCAGGCCTGGAGCAGCAGGGCATCTGGCAGGTGCGCCTTCTAGGAGGGGCTCTGCGGCCATGCGCCAGGGCCCTGCAGCATGGCATCCTGTGCTCACAGGTGCAAACATCTGAGCTCAGGGGAACCAGAACAGGAAGCAGCAGCTGTGGTGCTGGCGCCTCCAGCACGGGCCTGGCGGGGGGCAGCGTGGGACAGCCGTGTGGCTGCCGAGATCCAGGCCCAGGTGGGTCTGGGCTGCTCTGTGGGCTGGTGCAGGAGTTGGGGGTGGGCTTGGCAGAGGCCCAGGCCTGGACAGGGTGCCCGCTGGGAAGCCCTGCGGAGGGCTGGGCCCCACCTCGCCCTCAGGGCACCCTGTCAGGAGGAGGAGGCTTCTTGAGCACCTCTGCAGTGGGGCTGTCCTCGTCCGCGGGTCATGCCCCGTCCCTGCCTAGAACCTCACCTGGCCGGCTTCCGTGTTCTGTGATTTCCCAGTCAGGATTCCTGCACCATTCTGTCCCGGTGCCCGTGCCCAGGTTATGACGACTAACCCCAAGCCCAACAAGGCATTAAAGGTAAGCGGGGTGGGGGGAGGTGGGGTGCAGGCCTGGGAAAGGCCTCTCCATAGGGAGAGGCTGTTGGCTGGAGGAAGTGCCATGGAGAGGTGGAGACAGTCAGGGGTCACGGTCCCAGGACACCCAGGAAGGTGACTCCCAGGCTGGGGCTTGGGTGGGGACAAGTGCCCACTGGCCAGGGTGTGTTCATTCCCCCATGCCCAGCAGGGGGCCAGAGCCACAGGGCCATGGGAAGGGCGTGCTTCAGCTCCTAGGACCGCCTCCTGCTGTCCACAGCGCAGGCTGCCTCTTACCCCTCACCTGCCTGTATCAGTCTTGTGCTAGGCTGGAGAGTCACAGAGGGCCACACGCATGGGAGCTGTAGCCTCACAGGGTTTGGGCAGCTGACAGTGACTGGAGAATGGCTGGGTGTAGCCAGAGACCCCCACCAGGGAGCAGCCTGCATTCACTGTGTGGCCCCATTCCCTGCTAGAGGGGCTGAGGCCAGCCTGGGATGCAGGCCTCCTGATGCTGGCACCAGGCCCTTATCCATGCGGTGTTTACTCCAGAGTGGACACCCCAAGCTGTCCTCCAGGGTCACTGTGGCGAGCCCTCCTCGCTGCCCACTTTGCACCCTGAGCCCAGCATTCCTGGCGCTGACCCTGTGCCGTGGCCCCTGCAGGTCAAGAAGGAGGCGGGCGAGAACGCCCCAGTGCTCAGCGACGATGAGCTGGTGTCCATGTCGGTGCGGGAGTTGAACCAGCACTTGCGGGGCCTCACCAAGGAGGAGGTGGTCCGCCTGAAGCAGCGGCGGCGCACTCTTAAGAACCGGGGCTACGCAGCCAGCTGCCGCATCAAGCGGGTGACGCAGAAGGAGGAGCTGGAGCGGCAGCGGGTGGAGCTGCAGCAGGAGGTGGAGAAGCTGGCACGTGAGAACAGCAGCATGAAGCTGGAGCTGGATGCCCTGCGCTCCAAGTATGAGGCCCTGCAGACCTTCGCCCGCACCGTGGCCCGCGGGTCCATGGCACCCACAAAGGTGGCCACCACTAGCGTCATCACCATCGTCAAGTCTGCCGAGATTGCCACCTCTGTGCCGTTCTCAGCTGCTTCCTAGTGTGCACCCGGGGCTGGCCGAAGGCCCTGTCCCGTGCTCAGCAGAGGGTCGGGAGCAGACTCAGGCAGGCTCCCAGTGAGGACGAGGCTGTGGGTGCCAAATGAAGGTGGGGTCTTGTGACCCCGGGTGCTGCACGCCTTCCTACACGCACATACATGCTCACACGCGCACATGCACTGGCCTTACTTTGGGGCTTGCCAGCTCTGTCCTGACTGCCTGTGTTAAGGGACATGTGTCTTGCTTGGGGGGAGTTGCGCTGTATGAGGAGAGGGCCCTCAGAAGGTCCCTGGCCCTGTGGCCTGGACGGCAGGGGCTCCGCCTACCACCCTTCCCGTGAGCAGCCAGCCAACCAGCCCAGGTGTCTGTCCCTGCGGTGTTGCTCTACCAGCTGGTGCAGGACCCTCCTCCCTGCCCTAAGCTCTGGTGCCTGAGGGGAGCCAGTTCTTCCTGGTGTTGAGATGCACCATGATCCTGCTTTATCTGTAGCCAGAGGCCCGTGCCCCATGAGGTGGAGGGAGGTGACTTGCCTGGGTGTGGGTGTGGGTGTACAGGGGGACACGCCCACTCTCACACGGGTGTGCCAGCAGCCTGGGGCCTGGAGGAGCAGCTATCACACGTGGTCCCGGGAGCTCTGGGGCAGGGAGGTGCACGAGTGTTGTGAGGTCTCCCTCTGGGATTGAGGAGCCCACCGAGGAGCAGTGACTGGCTGGCCGGGGGAGCTCCAAGCAGGGAGGGCATGGTGGGACAGAAGGGACATGCTTTATGTGGGGCAGGTGTGGGGGGCAGTGCTCTGGCCTCTGGAGCAGCCATGGGGCGGGGGCGCCTGGCTGCCCCTGGTCCTGCCAGCAGAGGTCAGGACGAGGAGGGCAAGAAGGTGGGCTCGGGCCGGCAAGGCCTAGACTGGCCTCCCAGGAGTACCTGGGTGGTCTGTTGGGCAGAGAGGATGAGGGCTGGGTACTGGCCTGGAACCTTCACTGCCTTTTGGCATGTGGAGCCCCTGATGACCTCAGTGACCTCTGCTGGGGCTTCCTGTCCCTGAGAACTGGGCAGGGGCTCTCCATTGGGGCAGGGCGTGGGTCCCCGGCTGCTGTCTGGGTGGGCTGCTGCCCCCGCCCCTCCACAGGCTGGAAGCTGCTGGCTCTGCCTCCTGGTTTTCCCTTGGCCGACCCCCACCCCACAGTAAGACCAGAGCAGGCTGCCAAGTAGGCATGGGTGTCAGCCGGGAGGGGAGGTGGGCAAGGACAGATGGCCCCAAGGGCCACATTCCTGCCCATGCGCCTGCTGTCAGGAGGGACTGAAAGCCTCTGGCTCTGCAGCAGCCTCACTGTGGTCCTGGGGGAAGACGGAGGGCTGGGGCCCTGGACCCGCAGGGAGCCACAGGCCCAGTGTGTAACAAAGCTATTGATACCACGGTCGTGGCAGGTAATCCACATTGGATATCAATAAGGACCACGGGAAATATTTAAGAGAAAGAAGTATATATATATAAAAGTATATACACATTTTATCGTACAGATTTTCATACCTTTTTCCTGTTTGATACTGTAAATCTCTTAATGGAACAGAGCTGCTGAGTGCGGCAGGTGCGTGGCTGTGGCCCCCTGCCTGGCTCCTGGGGCTGGCTTGGCTCTGCGGATGGGATGCAGGCCCCACCGCTCCCTTGTCTCCCCCCGCCCTCTGCGCAGCGTGCTGGCAGTGCTGGGCGCTGGCCCAGTGTGCCTAGTGGGGCCTGGGGCCCTGGAGGGCAGGCCAGCGTGTTCCCACATGCTTCTCCCGTTGAGACCATTGAGATTTCATTGTCACGATTTAATATATGGGTTTTTATTTAAGAAAAGGCAGGGGCCTGGGGCGTGGGTTTGTCCTGCCACATGCCACCTCTGCCTCCCCGGAGGGCCCTGTGTGAGCATAGCCTGCGCCCCTCGCCTCTGGCAGCTCCGTGGTTTAATTTCCATATTTATTTTTGTGCTGCTTTTGTCGTGACGTAAGTTATTGAGGAGAGACGCTCTGCCGGGGCCCTTGCTCACATGGCGAGCACCTGCAACCCTCATGGCCACCACCTAATTTATTGCTGTACATCTCTGCTGTGACCTTTTGTACCTTTGCAATAAAGACTTTCTGGCTGCAGACCCACCTCATTGCCTACTTGGTGCTTTGGGCCCAGGCCCCAGAGCCCTCACCGGGAGAGCGGCCTGAGTAGGCCCTGGGTCCACGTTTGGGAGGGCTTGCTTTCTGTGTGCTGGGCAGAATGAGTGCCTATTCTGACCTGCAGCTGCCAGGCCCTCTGGCCGGGAGGGGCCCCTCTGCTGGGCGGTGTGCTCCTGTGGTGGGCCAGGCCTTGCCCCCTTCCTTGGGCTGGAGCTTGTAGGGCTTGAGGGACAGGGTCTGCCCTGGGGGAAGAGCCACACCCTGCACAGTGGCCGCAAGTGAGCACCTGGCAGGGCCCTGTCCTTGGTGCTGCCGCCTTGTTGGGCCTTCTGTGATGAGCAGCCCTGTACCACCATCTCTGGGGGGCAGCTGGGGCAGCCCTGGCCTTGGCCTCTGAAGCAGGGTCGAGCTGCAGGTGACACCTGATGCCGAGGGTTTCTGAAACCCGAAGCCCTTCTGCCCTCTGGCCGAGCTTACTGCAGCAGCCCCTAACTTCTGGGTGACCACAGGCCAGTTCCTTCCCTCAAGCCCCTTCCCTCAAAGTCTGAGCATGCATGAGCCCAGCACTGTGTGGTCACTGAGCCCCACACTTGGCAGTGGCAACCATGGATGTTTCTCACAGCTGCCCTGGGAAGGCCCCCAGAGCTGGCAGTGAGGGGGGTGTGACCCCAATGGGCTCCTGGCAAGTCAGTAAAGGCTCTGCCGCCCTGGCCGCTGGCCTGCCATCTAGGCTGCTTCCCTCGGGTGTGCATCCTGGGGGCCACTTCACAGGTAAGAACACTGAGGCCAAGACCAGTCAGATACCCCCTGGCTTGGGACCTGCCCACTTTCTCAGGGGTGGCCAGGTGCCCCTCCAAACCCTTGTCCTTGTCCCCTGGGGAGGGTGGGCCAGTGGGCAGGGCCAGCACCTCCACCTGCCCCGTCAGAGGCGACTGCATTTCATTCCAGGGCTTCTATGTCAGGAAGAAAAGCCTGCCAAGTCCTCAGGTTGAGATGTCTGTGACTAAGTGGGTAGGTGGGTGGGCTGGCCACCCCTTGCTGGTTCTGTGACCTCGGGCCACCTTCCTCGGGCTTTTGTGAGGACTGAGTATGTGGGGTGTCTGGCCTCGCCCTTGGCATGCAGCGCGTGCTCCGTGAATGCTGTCTCCCTACCTCCCAAATGCCAGGCCTGATCAGGCTGTCTCCATGCACAGGCCAGGCCTGGGACACCCCTGCAGCCGGAGCCCACGCTGTGTCTGGGTCTCCAGAAGGGGGCTCTGGCCCACTTACCCTCTGTGCACTCAGCTTTGGGCAAGTCAGGCCCACAGGGTGGCCTGTCTGATGAGGCCTCAGAGCAGCCCTGCCTGCCTTTGCCCACAGAGGAGCCCGGCATCTCTCCTGCAGCCCCAGAAAACCTCCCTGCTTGGCTGGCAGGCCTCTGGGGAGCGTTGTGCCCTCTCCAAACCTGCTGATGGGATTGTGCAGGGGTCGGAGCTGGGCCAGCTGTGGGCCTGCCTGTTGCAGGGGGCATGACAAGGTGGGTGGGTGGGGACATGCAGGCGGTGGCCCATCTCATCAGGCAGCCTGGCTGGGCCCTGGGAGAGGCTTCCGGCCTCGGGTCCAGGTCCCCAGGCCCAGGAAGCAAGGAGGCAGAGGGCGACCATGCTCCGGCCTGGACCGGCGGGTCAGTTCCCGCCCTGCTGAGTCTCCCAGAGCATCAGCACCTTTCCATCTCATGCCGCTGGGTGGAGCCCACCGGACCTCCCTGGCCCTGGCGCTCACATCTATGGGCCCTTGGGCTTCCAGGTCCCTGGCCAGCCCTCCTGCCCCAGAAGCTGCCTTGCAGAGGCCTCCCTCTCCCCTAGCAGCTTGGGCCCTTCGAAGCTTCCGCAGGGCAGGGCCCACATCCCAGGTTCGGCTCTCAAAGCTCTTTGGGCACTGACCTGGCATGTGGGCGGGGAGGGGGTGGCAGGCTCCATGCACAGGTGTTTTCTAGAGCAAAGACTTCCAGGTCTCGGTACGTGGGCTCCAGTGTGAGCTCTCCTTGCCCTGCTCTGAGCATCAGCGGGACCCTCCCCCAACAACACCCCAACTTGGCATGAGTCGCCAGAAAACCCAGGTGTTCATGGACAAATAAACCCAATTTGCCAGGAGTTCCGTACGGCAAAGTCTCCATGCAGGGGGCCCTGGGCACATTCTCCCCGGGGTAGGCAGCTTGCTAGGGCTCTCCACTGCTGGAGGGGATGTAGAGCAGCATTGGCCCATCTCCCACAGACCCAAGAGGCCACAGCGAGGCCCCACCCCGACCCCTGCGTAGACCTCACAGGCCCGGATGCCCACAGTTCCCATCCTCCCAGGGCCGGCTGCCTGGCTCTTCCCTGGCGTCTTCCCCTGCGGCTGCCCAGCTTGGGATCTGTCCACCCAGGAGGCTACACTGGCTCCCTGCCCCATGGTGGCCACCTGAGCTGATGGCCAGATGAGCCCTGGTCTCAGGGCTTGTCAGACAAGCCCACTGCCCCCTCCTGGGGCTCCAGACCCACTGGCCAGAGGCAGGATGGAAGTGGGCTCCCTGGGCTTGCCAGGAGGGCTCCCAGGAGAGGTTTGGCCTTTGGCAAGAGCACTGGTGGGTGAGGGCCCTGTCCTCTCCCAGAGGCCTGGACAGCCTGGGCCCAGCCAGGAGAGGCAACCTCGCCCTCCTACGGCTCCTCCCCAGGAATCAGCATCCTTTTCTCCAGGTGGCGGCTCTTCCTGCCCCTACCAGAGGTGCTGGCCACGCTGGCGTTGGGGCTGGGCACGGGGGCCTCGTGTGTGGCCTGCTGCGTGTAGTGCTGGTAGGCAGGTGAGAAGTTGTGGATGGCATCCTGCACAATGTCCTGGGGGCTCATGGTTTCCTTGAGGCCGCTGGAGATGCTGTGCATGGGGCCTGTGGGGGCTGTGGGAAAGCGGCAGGCAGGTGGGGGCTGGCTCTCAACCTGGGGCTCATGGCCTGCGCCCCGCTGCCCTTGGGCTGCACAGGGCTCCTGCAGCTGCAGGTCCTGGCCTCGCCAGAGCAGGCGGCTGCTGGAACCCCCAAATCCAACCTAGGCCCCCCACCCTGAGGCTGTCCCAGCCCAGACCCTTCCAGGGGCCACAGCAGGCAGAGCACCTTGGCTCCTATCTTCTGTCCAGCCTGGGGTGGTCCCTTCACACCTGTGGCCACTCCAAGCCGACTGGAGCAGCCACAGGCCATCGCTGCCCAAATGAGCCATTTGCTAGGCAGCCCCTCTCATCAGGCCAGACTAGGCACCTGGGTGGGTACGCCAGCACCCCAGGCTCGGGCAGCACCCACCTGGCTCACCACGAGGACTGGGCCTGTCCAGCCCAGCTCACTCAGAGTTACCCGCCAGCCCCTGCTACTGGCCTGCCTGCCCTCTTCTGGGCCAACAGCAGAGATGGCACCTGTCCATGGCCCTGGCCTCCCGTGGGGCTGTGCCCCTCAAGCTGATACCCCCCACCCCCAGGCCATATATGGAATAGGGAACAGAGACATGGTGCTGCTGGCACCCTTAGGAAGGCCAGGCTGGCCTGCTCCACTCCAGCCTGAACCTGTGCTGTGTGCTGTCCCCTCTGCCACCTCACGCTGCACCCCCTGCCCAGCTACAGGGCCCAGCATACCTGGGGAGTTCTCTTTCTTCTCTGAGTACACCTGGCAGGTGAAGGCATAGCGCAGGGCAATGGAGGCAAAGAGCATCTCAATGCAGACGATGAAGTTCTGGTAGCCAGCGGCCAGTGTGCCAGCTCCCACCTTGCTTCCATCGATGACCTGGACCTCGGGGATGACCCCACACCTCTCCAGGATGGCCATCAGCATCCCTGGGAGATGGTGACATCACTCAGACACCCACCTTATACAGGAGGCTGGACTGAGGCTGGATACATGGGCTTGGTGGGGTCTGCAGGGGAGGAGGCGGTTCAGGCCCCCTCAGAGGCTCCTCCAGCCAGCCCAGGGATGTCCCGTCCATTGGGGCTTGCTCCATGGAGGGGGAGAGTGAGGTTCTGAGGGGCTGGGTGCCTCCAAGCTGGAGTGTAGGTACAGCGGACAGCCAGGAGCTCATGTCTGCTCTGAGTTCTCCAACCCAGGTGTGGGGCCCACCGTCACTATTTAGTGGCATTCTCCTCTGCACAGTGTGGCCTGGGAGTGACCACAGCATGGCCCGGGGCCCAGTGGGGCAGGCTCCTGGCCCTCTGCATGTCCGCCTCACCCACAGCGGCCTGCTTGCCCAGGGTTCACGGCTTCCCACTGAGGTGGGAACCAGCCTGTGCTACCACTGGGGAAAAGGCTGGGCCTGGGGATGCCCAGGACTGGGGGCATGGGGACACAGGCCCCACACCTTGTCTAGCAGCGTACCCACCCTGCCAGAAGGAGAGGAAGATGATGGCCTTGATGGTGAGGAACTTGAGGATGGGCTCAAAGGGCTGCAGGAGCTCCCTGGTGGCAAAGTAGAAAAGGAACAGGGCATAGAGGGCCAGGCTGACTGAGATGTTGTAGATGAGGGTGACGTACAGGTAGCCGCTGTGGATGCTAGGGACAGAGCAGGTACAGAGGGTAAGTGTGGCCCTGGCCCCCCATCAGCTGTGCCCACCAGCAGTGGCCCAGACCTGGATTCTCCCTCTGGGGCAGCCAGATGGCACTTAAAGGAAGTGGCCAGGGAGCTGAGGAGTTGCAGAGGGCCCAATGCAGTGGTAAAGATTTGGCCCTTCTACGAACCTCCCTGCTCCTCCCTCCACCTGCTGGGCACAGCCTAAGGAACAGGCCTCTGCCTTGTGGACACACAGGCAGGTGTGTGCACGTGTGTATGCACACACACCTGTGTGTATGCACATGACCTATGGCTGTCTGTGTGTGCACGTGTGAGCAGGCTGTGTGCACATGAGCAGGTGTGTGCATGTGCTCCCGTCAGAGCAGACATGTGCCTGCATGTGTGCACACATGTGTGCATGCATGTGGACCTGGTGCAAGGTTCCTTCCGGAATGCCAGAGAGGTGCTGCCTGCCTCCCCATTGCCCGAAATCCTGCCTCGCTCTCCTTCAGGGGGGCCTGCTGCAGTGTGGGGCTGGGGGAGGCAGCCCACTGCTGTCTGGGCCACACAGCCTGGGGTTCTCTGGGCACTTGTGTGACAAGGGTCCCATCCTCTGGGTCTATTTGCCACAGCCTGACCCTGGCAGTTTCCCAGGTTGGTGGGCTGGAGGGCATGATGGGTGGGCTTGTCTTTCTCCGAGTACTGGGCCCCCAGCTGAGCTCTCCACTGAGTCCTGCCCCCTCTGCTACACCAGGAGCCCTCCAGGCCCGACCCAGCCCTCCCTGCTGGCACCGCAGCCTGGCCTTACTTGAAGTCCCCATCGTGGTATTTGCCAAATGCCTGCAGGATGATGGTGACCAAGGCCATGGCGGGCTTCACAACGCAGAACTGCAGTGTGGCCTGGGAGAGGGCAGCAGGGGGATGAGGGGCCAGCCTGATGGGCAGGAAGCTGCCTCCCACCCCCACCTCCACCCTGGACCCTGGGCAGTGAGGGGTGGTCAGCGGGTGGCTGGAGGTGGTGGAGAGGGGCGGGGCAGGGGCAGTGAGACCCTGCTTACCTGCTTGCAGAAGCGTAGGAAGCCGATGGAGTAGGACCTGCCTCGCAGGCAGCAGGTGCTGTAGAAGCAGCTGGACCTGCGGGGTGGGGGTCCCTGAGGCCAGCTGTGGAGGAGCCCTGCCCAGACCACCCACTGCCCTGGGCAAGAAGGAGCCCCAGCGGGCTCCAGGTGAGCACTTACTGTATGGGCTTTCCCCGGATTTCAGCCATGATGGCACTCTCACCCCCCAGGTACTGGAAACAGAGGCTCAGGAAGCTGTAAATGACAAAGGCTGCCAAGCAGAAGAGTGGGGCGGGCGGCAGTGAGCCCTGACAGCCACACACGGAGGTTCCCTGACCCCTGCAGAGCCCCACAGAACGTCTCCATGCCTGTTTCCTGGGGCAAGCCAAGCTCACGCCACACAGCCCACCTCCCCTCACAGGGGCTCCAAGCCAGCTCTGGAGCTACACACCACCAGGTGTCTCCAGTGGGGTGGGGCCTGCAGCTGTTCCTGCCATCCTGATGCCCCCCCACCCTGTCTAGGGCTCCCCCATCTCCCCTGTATGGGCTCTGGGCCAGCGCGGCTGCAGCCCCCACCTTGGGAGCCTGGGAGCCTTATATTCTATGCTGCTGGCCCACGCTAAGCCAGATTCAGCCTGGAGGGTGGGGTGCACCAGGACTGGCCACAGGAGCACCCTAGGTCCCCTCCCACGGCCTCTAGCACCAGCCCGACTCCAGGCTCCTCTGTGCACTCTCGGGCCTCCAGCTGGAGCCCGGCGGCACCCACCTTCATAGCAGTCCCGCACAGAGTCAAAGTAGACGTAGTGCTGGTGGCCCCCGAGGAGCAGGAGGCTGAGCCAGGAGTCGAAGGCATAGATGGGCACAATGAAGAGCAGGCGGATGATGTAACGTTGCTCACTGGGGACGGTGTAGGAGCGCAGGTGCAGGTAGATCTGTCAGGCAGAGCAGGAGCAGGTGGGGGACCAGCAGGCCACCACCGCCCCTCTGTGTGAGTGGGCAGGTCTCCCCTGCTCCTGGCACCGGTTCACTCACATGCTCATTCATTTGTTCAAGAAGAGCTTCCCAAGGGGCACCCATGGCCCCTAATGGGCACAGACATTCCGGAAAGCACTCTGGTATTCCACATGGGGGCACTAAAAGGGCTGAAACCTTGGCCCCTTCTAGGGATTCATCCTATGAAACAGATGGGAATACAGAACTACAGAAAGGGTGTGTGCACGCAGGAGCTCAGTGTGGCTGGACCCAAGCAGGGCACGTCCAAGTGTGGTGGTAGGGCCCGGCAGATGGCAGCCACTGTGGCGCACCCTCACAAGGGGGTCACACGGCCAAAGTGACATCCCGCAGTGCTGTGATACAGGGTGGCATGTAGAAGGTGCAAACCAAGCCGGACCCTATGCCTGTCAAAATGCACGGCAGAAATGGAATACTCTTAGTTCATCCATAAACCTTTTTGGATATTCCATGTTTTCTATGAGGACATGAAAAACAGTAACAGGGTCTTCAAGAGGATGAAGCACAGGCAGCTGGCTGTGCTCCCACGGTACCTCTGGAAGGCTTCCCGAGGTGCAGTGAGCACAGGCGGAAAGAGGACAGGGCAGGCCGTGTCAGAGGCCTGGGTGCATCCAGCTTCCTAGCGCAGTGAGGGGGCAGGTGGCATAGGAATGCCTCATCAGTCACTCAGTCCCCAGCTGGTGCAGGGCGAGGGCACGGCATGAGCCGCCATCAGGGGACCTGAGTTCTGCCCTGGCGTAGGCACTACCTGGCCGGGTGGCCGTGGCAAGCTGCTGTCCTCTCCAGCCTTAGCTGCCTGTCTTAAAAGCAAGGGGTTGAGTCCCTCCCTGTCCTGCTGGGCTCCGTGGGTGGGAGTCTTGGGGCAGGAGTGGAGGGTGGGGCCTCGGAGCTTCAACCACAGGGTCTCTGTCGGCTTTGTCAGCCTCCGGCTGTAGGGCCCCAGGAAGCACAGACACGTGCACAGCTGGTCCCAGAATCACAGAAGGTCAGGGCTAGACAGAGAGAAACCCAAGGCCCTGACCCCAGACCCCAAGCGCCTGCACCTTGCTGCTCCCTGTCCTATAGATCACAGCCTGCACCAAACCTTAAGCCGCACAGCCACCAAGGAGTAAGGCATGGCTTCCATGCAAAGGCAGGTGCACCGCCCCCACCTGTCCCAAAGACCAAGCACAGTTTGGTGAGACTCAGGGGAAAGGTTGCGTCCTCCAGGCAGTCCTCCCTGCCCCCTCCAGCTATCTGACTGCTCTCAGGCCCTTGGCAGCCAGCCCCTGCACTCAGGCACACCTCCTGCTGCCATGCACCCCAACTGCCCCTTGCTTAGGCCTGGTGCCAATCCAGCTGGGGGGCTGCCATATCTCCCCAGTTGGGACTACCCCAGACAGGGACTGATTGTGGCTCAGGATTTGGGCATGTTCCTTCTCTCCTCTGCTTCCCTCAGGAAGGGTGCCCTGTCCCCTCCAGCCAAGCTCTGTCCTGGCTCCCGGCTCTCAGGTCCCCACAGAGCAAAGTCCAAGCCCTTGCCAGCCTTCCAAGGAATGGTATGTTTCTGGAGGTAAGAGGAGCATTCCCCTCCAGGCTGCATGAGCCTGGGAAAGACCCCTGGCCTCTCCTAGCCTCATTCTCCTCTGTGAAATGGGACAATACTGCTGCCCTCAGTGAACAGGGTGAGGCCTGGCACATGGCTGGTGCTCTGCCTTCCTCCTGCTGAGGCTGCCTGGCTCCCACATGCCACGTTCTAGGAGAAAGCCCCCTCCCCTCCCCTGATGCTGCCTCTAAGAGCTGCCAGGCACAGCTCCTGCAGCAGCCAGGCCTCTGATGTCTGCCCTGAGGTGGGGTTCGGCCAGGGCAGTGGGGACCCTGGGGAGCTACAGGAGGGAGGGCTTACCTGGTGGCAGGTGAGCACCAGGGCAGTCCACACAAAGATGCCTGAGATGCTGCGTGCCAGCGTGGTGGTGAGGAAGAGCCGGGAGGTGCCCTGAGAGCCGTTCCCCACGTGGTCCATCTGTGGCCCAGGGGTCATGGCTGGTGGGGGGCTAGGCTGAGGCCAGGTTGCTGATACCAGCAGGGCGCTGGCTGTTCCCAGGAGCCCTGAGGCATTAGTCATCTGCAGGGGCAAGGAAGGACACGGAAGAACAGTGAGGGCAAGGTACATGGGGCAGCTGGGAGCAGCTGGGATGGGAGGGAGTGGGGGCTGGGCCAGGCGGTATGCCTGGAGGGGCCCCTCCTCCAGGCTGTGGACCCATCCAGGGATGCCCTGGGCATCAGTCCCTGTCCCGTCTATGACAGTCTCAGTTTCAACCTGTCCACTTCCCCTGAGTCCCTGGTGCGCGGGGACCCAGCTCCAGGGCCCTTCCTGGGCTGCCTTCCTTCCCGGGGCTCAGCCGCCAGGAGCAGATGTCACCTGACTTGGGGCAGTCCCCTCCTCTGATGCCCTGGGCTTGTAGGGAGCCCGCTTTTTAGGGACCAAAGGCATCTGGGAAAGTGCCCCGGATGGAGTCGGGGGAGTGGGCCAGACTGGCACTACCTACAGCAGCAGACACGGGGGTACAGCACAGCACCCACCAGCTCCCTGAGGCTTGCCCAACCCACTGGGTGTCCTGCTTGGACACGCCGAGCCCACTCACTAGCCCTGGGTACCTGTCTGTCAGCTGCTCATCATCCAGCTGGGGCACCAAGTGCCTCCCTTCCCCCCTGCTCGGGGCCCTGATCCAGCCTCCCGCCTCCTTCCAGCCTGTGGTCCTGGGCCCAGCACTTACCTCTCAGGCAGGAAGCTCCTGGCCTGGCACTGGGAGACCCAGCAGCCCAGGAAGCCTGGCTGGTCTCTGTGCAGCCACGTGGCCCTCACTGGCAGCCCCACTGAGGGTGAGACAAGGCCACTATCTGGAGGCCGTCCCTGCCTGGGGAGGGCCAGCACCAGCTCCCCTCCCTGGAGGCCCACCTGAGCTCAGGCTGCGGGGCGGGCCCAGGGGAGGGGGAGGAGCCAAGCCCTGTGCCCTGCCGCTGGTGACACTCTATCCCTCCCGGCTGTTTGCTCCGTGGCAGCTGACTCCCAGGAGGCTGCTGACCGCCAGGTGCCCTCACCTGCCCGCACCAGGTGGCCAGGCAGCTGCTGCCCAGGGCCCTAGACAGGTGGGAGGGGGCCCAGTGGGTAGGGTGGGCTGGGACTGCCTAGTGGGAACAGGTTTCCAATTGGGGGATGAAATGTTCTGGAAGGAGGCAGGGCCGCCGTCACACAGCATTGTGGATGTACTAAGGGGGCGTAAATCCAGGTTGTGAGACTGTCGCCTCAGTTAGAAATGCCAAGCCCCCAGAGGCGCCCTGGAAACATTTCTTGTTTTGGATGGAGGGTGGGGGAGGACAGACCAGCCCTGGCTTGGGGGCTGGATTCCTACCCCGGTGGGGGTGGTGCCGCACACTGGTGCAGGCGGGCGGGTGGTGCCCCACAGGTGCCAGGGTGCAGGGTTGCTCTGTAACCTTGATGGGACCGCACATTCACGTCCTTCAGGCCACGTGACCCTCCCCTCAGCCCTGGGTAGAGGAGGTTGAGGCTGGAGTTGCTGAAATTATGGTTCCTCTTTCAGGTGTGGGGATGGGGACTTCCCAGGGTCCCATCTGCATGTCCAAAGCCCCTGAGGGGTTCAGGAGGGTCCAGGGCTGGCAGTCAATCACCGGGACACACTGCCTTGCTCCCCCACCCTCTGCCCACACTGTCCCGGAGAGAGCCCCCTGCCTGGGCCTCCCCTACCAATACCGAGTGGGCCTGGCCCATGCTCTGCCGCTAACCTTCTGCACCAACTTGTCTCCCAGCTGACTCCTTGTCCTGAGGCTCAGATAGCACCTTCTGCTTGTCCCCTTTAAGTGATCCCCAAACCCCCTGCCTGTTGGCTGTCAGGTGCTGGCTTTCCTTCCATAGGGGCTTCTGGAAGCTGGCGCTGTGCCTGGCCCACACCTGCTGGGTCCTCCCTGTGTGGCTCTCCACCCCAAGCCCTCACTGCCCACGTGCCAGGGCCCAGGATCTGCAGGTATGTTGGCTCAGCATGTGCAGAGCAGTGCTCACCAGCTGGGGTATGGTTCTCATCGCCTCAGGCAGTCATGGCCACAGCAGCTGTCCCTGCCATGGTGACAAAGCTTAGGGACCTTGGTGGGTGAAGACTGAGATATCGGGACACTGGCAGGGCTGGCAGGACCCAGAGAAAGCACTCGTGTTACAGATGGGGAAACTGAGGCCTAGGTCCTTCCCAGGCTGATGCTACAGCAGGAAGCACTGTGGTTAGAGGTCAGAGGACTTCCCTAGTGGAAGTCACCAGGGCCAGGCCCCAGGGAGGCACGAGACCCTGGACTCAGCAGGAAAAGGCAGAGCCCTCTGATACAGCCAGGTGCATGCTGGGTGGGGAGGACTGATCTTTCTGCCAGCAGCAAGCTGGGGCATGGGGCCTCTGACATCAGGGTTCATGGCCCCAAGGGTCCATGATTCTTGGGAAACCCCACTTGCTCAAGGCCAGTGTCGCTTCTGGGTTGTTCTTGCCTTTTCCCATGCTGGTGTGTTCTTGTTCAGCCACTGCTCCCAGGAAGGCCTCCAGAGAGCTCTGGCCCTAAGGCCTCCCCTCTCCAGAATGTCTTGCACACTCTGGGAAATGTCTTTGCCTCAGAAGACAGCTTTGGCTTCGGCCCCCTCCTTTCCTGCCAGCTCCCACTCTGTGTGTCTTTTGTAAACCGGACACTGCAGGGGGAGGGCCCTTTCCTTCTCTGGCTGCCTGACAGCCTCACTCAGAGGCAGCCTCAGTACTCAGCCCTTTGTCCCCCACAGTCTTGGCCACCTTGGCAGGCCCCTTCACCTCTGTGGCCTCTGCTTTTCCATCCGTAAATATGAGTTTCCAGCTCTCCGGCCCCTCCCTACATGGGGTGTGGCACACAGGTCTCTGCCATGGCTAGTGGCCAGGACCCACCTCCTTGCCTCGCCCCAAGCTCAGGGGAAGGCCCCTGGCCACATGGTCCCCACTGGGGCCCAAACTCCCAAGCAGAACCCCAGGTGAGGGTGGGGAGGTGAGAGGGAAGGAGCAGGCTGTGCCCAGCTGTGCACAGCAACAAAGGGGCCAGGTCTGGGGAAGTAAGGGTCAGCCTTGGTGCTGAGGAGGGAATAGGCTGCCCTTTTGGCCTCCCATGGGGCTCTCTGGCTGGATGAGGCCCCACCCCTGGTGGTGGGTGTCAGGGCCACTACACAGGAGAGGTAGCCCAGCCGGCTGAGCCTGATTCCTGCTTGGGGCTGGACGCTGACTAAGCACGTCACAGGACAGACCTGCCCGCCCAGATCCGGGTATTAATGGCCTCTGACCACTGTTTGCTCTGGCCAGGTGACCCACTCCTGGCAGCTCTCAGCCAGGTTATGGGTGGCTGAGAGCCTGCCAGCTGGTCCCAGACCTCCACCCATCACCCCTTGTGCTTGTGGCTCCGTGGCCTTGCTGCTGGTGTGAAGCTCATTCCCTGCTGGCCCTGCCACCTGCCCTCTGGGGACATCTGTGGCTCCTGCAAAGCCCCCAGTCCCTCCAAACAGCCAAGAACTCTCCTTATGGGGCCAGCACAGACAGGGCAATGGGGTCATCCCTCGGTTGACATCACTAGGGCCCTTGGCCCTCCCACTGGTGCCCAGGGAGTGGCAGACAGGATCTGCCCCTGAGCTTTTGCCACGGCCCACACAATGGCTGCTGACTCAGCACTAGCAGGGCCTAGGGCTGGACTGGCTGGACTGGCTCCCGTTAGCCAAGAGCTCTGGAGCTGGGAGAAGAGCAGGCAGGGGCAGTGGCTGGGCCCAGGGGGCCTCCTCTGTCCCTCCAGAACTGTCCCACAGGCTGTGAAACACCTGGATGATGACTCCTGGCCTGGCTCCCACCTGCCTGGGGCCCTGAGCCATTCCTTCCATTCCTCTTGGCCTAAAGCAGGGCATAGCCCTTCCCAGCTCTAGTACTGGATCCCGCGTGTGGTGGGCGAGCATTGCCTCCTGGTGGCCAAGATGCCGGTTCCTCACTAGGGCCAGGAAACCGGGTCCCAAAGCCAGGAGGCACAAGGCACACTGGGTGGGGACCCTCACCTTCCCCTCCCTGTGTGACCCTGGGCAAACCTTGGGCTGCTCCGAGCCTCAGCTTCCACTGGTGACTGGTCAGCCCTGGTCACAGCAGGACTCGGGGCAGTGGCTTCCCTGCCACCCGCTCCTCTTAAAGGGGGCCACTGGCCACTGCAGCCCAGGAGAGCTCGGACCCAGCTGCCTCAGCCGGCTGGTGTCACATCCATCAAGTGCACTGGGGGCAGGTCTCTCTGACATGCCCTGGCTTCCAGGCTGCACGGTCAGCCCAGTGGGACCTGTATGGGCTTCCTCCATAGGCCCCCATGCTTTCTGTCCTGGCTATGCCCACTGGTGTCCACCCCCCACCCCTCCCTGGCCTGTGTGCACCAAGGCCTGCCCTTATCTGCCCACTGCCCCGGAGAGAGCTGCCAGCCCTGGGTGTGCACTGGAGGAACCCTCCCAGGTGGAGTTGGGGCAGGGCACTCACCTGGCCTGGACTTGCCAGCCTCTGGACCCTTTTAGTTACCAGGTGGCATCCTGGAGCCTGGAAGGGGGCACAGCCTCTGGGGTGGAGAGGGGCTGAAGGCAGAGGAGCTGTGACTCAGAATCTCAAGCTGTGAGCCTCCCACTCGGACACCCCAAGGATATGCATGAAGCTCACCTCCCTGGTGGCTCCCTCAGGGTCTGCCGCAGGCTGCCAGGCCCAGGAGGGCAGCAGGGGCATCCAGCCCACGGTGGGGCTCCAGCCTCTGTTGTCTCTCCTCACAGCAGCCTAGGTCATCCAATCCTACTGCTCCTGGGGAAGCACTGGCCTCTCCTCAGGCCCAGAACACTCTCCTGTAGCCCGCCCACCCTGCCAGGGCAGCCCTGCCTACCTGGGTGTGGCCCAGGCCACACCCTGCCCGTGCCCTGTCCCGTTTCTGGGCCAGGCCCTTCCACCCTGTCCAGCGGGGCGCAAGCTTGCTCGAGTCTCTGACATCCAGGCGTGGATCTCATCTGGGGCACTGACCAGGTATGGCTGTGGGGTGCTGCACCTCCGTGGCCCATCTGTGCAGGTGGAGGTCTGATGCCCATTTCATAAGCGCATAAGGAGGGCCTTCTCTGGACCAAGCCCCTCAGTCCTTGGGCAGTGGGGCAGGGCAGACGCCGGGGCTGCAGGGTGCAGGCCCCTAGCCAGCACTGAGGACTGCGGCTCTAATCTGGCTCTTTCTGCACAGCCCTGAGTCTGTGTCCCTCTGAGGGGACCCGATGGTCCTTATGCTCATGGGTGTGTGGGCGCTGAAGAATGTGGACAAAGGCACCATGCAGGCTGCGGCCAGTGACATCCTGCTCGAGGGCTGGTGTTACTTGGTCTCTTCCTTGGAACCCGTCCATTTCTGTCCCCTTCTCCCTTTCCTTCCCCACCTACTATCCTTCTAGCTGCCTCCTCTCTCCCTCTGCACCGCCACCCCCCCACCTGGCCCCAGCCAATCAAGCCAAGAGCATGTGTCCCCTCCTACAGGCCTGGGCACAGGGGTGGGGGGCATTCTGGTACTGCCATCCTGCCAGGAGCAATTCTCAGCCCTGCAGTCCATCCCTTCTTGGCTGCAGGATGGGGTTCAGGCTCCGTGCAGCACCCCCATGGGGGGGTCTCACCTGACACGGGGAGCCCATGTGAGGAGACTGTCAGCTGCTGTCCTCACCACACACAGTGCCTGGCCACTCCCACCCCACCCTGGGCTTTCTGGGATACGGTCCTCACTGAAATGTCCCTCAGCTTTGGTCTGTTCCAAAAGCTTTCCCACTTTTCCTGCTCACGCTCTTTCTCGAATTTGAGTCATTTCCACCCAAGTCACCTTCCAAACCCGCAGGAGGCTGGGTGTGTCCCATTGTCGTTGGGAAACCAGACCACACCCAATGGGAGGACGCCTCTCTGCAGGCCCTTCTCCTGGCCTGGGTTTCTCTCATTCCATTCTTAAGTGGCCATCACTCCCATCACTTACCCAAGTGCCCCTCCCTGACTTCGTTTCACTTCCAGGCACTAAACAAAATTGCTGATGCCAGCTATCTCAGCCAGTCCCCGTGCTGCTATCTTACTCCGTGGGCTGTTTGTCATAATTAGTTCAAGGGTATCCAATTCTGTCAAAACGCTGGATAAGCTGCTCAGAATGATAAATAACGAAGAGCGGCTGCCCTCTCTGGCTTCTCTTGACCTCCAAGGGTACCCACTTGCCCTTGGCTCTGAGCTGGAAAAGGGGGGGAGTGGGAGGGAGGAGGAGCAGGGGGCCTTCTGCTTGCAGCTCAGCAGAAAACTGTTGGACAAATCACACCATGTCGGTTCAAGGGCATGGTACTGAAAGAGAGCTTCATCTACCAGCCCACTGCTGCAGGGGCTGGCAGCCCAGTGTTCATTATTTACATTTGGCTGTAAATTGCTGGAAGTTGTAATTACAGTTTGATCACTGGGTAAGCGCCATATGCAGCCTTTCCATCTAAAGGAATAACAATTTCCACAAAACAGACAGCCCTGCCTGTGGAAACTACAGCTTTATAGATCTCTTTATTGGAGCATGTATCTCTCTTCTTGAATTATAGCAGCTGGGAGCAGAGTGCTGCAAAGCCAGGGGCCAAGTGCCCTTTCACACAAGTCACATGTCTTGATTTATAGGGCAGAGCAGAGCAGTTAGGCACTGGCTTAAATGACCAAAGCATTTAGTCTCAGTCTGTATTATTTAATAGCTACCAGACAGCTCCAGGCAGCTGTAAATAGTATGACTTAGAGGAAGCACTGGGGACCCTGGTTTCAATTATACATCAGTTACACCAGCCCCGTCCAGGCAGCCAGCCAAGGCACTGTGCAGATAACACGGGACACAGCTGCATGTACATCCTGGGGCCACCAAGCACCCTGTGTCTCTGAGCTACTCTTCTGGTCTGAGAAGCAGTTTTCTCCACTCCCTACCTGCCTCCTAAGGGTGGCTATATGGGCTGGTTGGAAGATGCAGCCACTGCCAGTGCCTGGCCCACTGGGTCAGAATCAGGCAGGGACACAGAGGCAATTAGTCCTGGAGCACCCACAGGGCTGGCTTCTCAGTGCGATCAGAGCTCAGGGGAGGAGGGGGACATGATGGTAAACAGTGTGGCCCTCAAGGCTCTCTGCCCAGGGTTCAAATCCCAGCTCTGCCACTCAGCAGCAGCTGTGTGATTCAGTGCCTGTGGCCTCACCTGGGGTGCATGAGAACTGAGTTACCACATGTGTGACAAGGGCTGACCAGAGCCAGGCAGGTGCTGGGCAGTAAGCTAGGCCCATGGTTACACTGCAAATCTAAATGTACACCCAGACTGGAGCCCTGTCCCTGCTGCAAGTCCCCATGTACGTGAAGGGGCCAATGCTCCAGGGACAAAAGCCTCAGGGTTTAGATGACGCATGTGACTGACCCAGGTCAGCCTAGAACTGGGACTCTGGGGAGCCTGTGGTAGTGTCAGCCTCTGATGCCACACTCTGCTTCTGCTCCCAGCCAGCTCTCATTTCGGGTAACTGTTACCCACACCAGTCATGACACACACCCCACCTCTGGGGTCACTTGGGTGGACAGTCCCTTCCCTTCTGTCAGGTCCTTTGTATCCTTATTGTGTTAGCCGAGGTCCTTCAAGAGACAGACACCAAGTGGGGTTTGGTACACAGAACCTTACTGGGGGAAATGCCAGTGTGGACACAAGTGGAGAGGGAGCTGGCAGACAGCAGTCCCAGAGTGCCCCAGGGGTAGGAGGTATGTGGGCCAAGGCCAAGCCCAACCAGGAAGGTGGGTGTGGATAAAGTGAAGGTTCTTATGGCCAGGATTCTCACCTGGCCCTAGTTGCCTAGCTCACTACACACGCATGGGCACTATGTTGCCGTTGACTCTAAAGAGCTCTGCCTGCTCTGGGCGACACTGTGGCATGACCACACAGCTGCAGGGCTGCAGGAGAGCAGACACTGGTGTGGTGGCAGCATTGAGAACTGATACTGAGACAGTTGTGGGGGCAGAGAGGTCCAGAGGCAGAGACCAGCTTGCTGCGTGCAGACTCACTCTGAGTGGATGGGATTCTAGTGAATGACCTGCTACTGTGAGAATAAAGTTGGGTATAAACCCTTTAACTCCAAAAATGTTCCACTGTCATTTTTTTTGGTCTCATTGAATCCATAGTGAACTTGCATGAAACTAAAACCCACTGGTAAGACAACTGGTGTAGTCGGCAGGATTCACTGTTGGCCAAGGAAAAGAACTGGCTGCCCTTATGGGAGGGGTGCTTCAGTGGGCTGCCCCTATGGACGGGGAGACATTCAAGTGTCCCCTAGTGGATGTGTGGTCTTACATGGCTTGCCTCCTAGAGGACTAGGCTCCACCATGACTGGGAAGGGGTGGAGGCAACACCTGAGGCCATAAAGTTGACCCTCAGCAAAATAGGGAATTCCTTAAGGAAACAGAGTGGCTGTGGGAACTGTGGGAGACTTCTCACAATATTGAGAAAAGCTGTAAGGGAGAAAGACATCCTCCCGCAGGAAGCATGAGAAGAGGCAGCACAAGAACATGAGCTGCAAGGTGCCGTCAAGGTAAAAAAATTTGTTGGTGATTGAAATGGCATCACTATGAGGTGCTGTGGAGATGGTAAAGGATGTCGTGGTAGCCCGAGAAGGAGCAGTGGCCTGAGCAGCAGCAGCATAAGAATGCAGGCTGACAGGTGCCGTGGGGCAGGTGAAGGATGTAGTGGAGCTGTCAGCCCCAGAAATGGAGGAGCGGAGGGTTTGGTGAACAGGCTGAGGGGAGGCCTGCTGGTGCCAGAGACATCAGCCCCTCCTCAGCTGAAACCCCATCTGGTTGAAAGTTGGTGGAAAGCCTGAGAAAGATAAAGACTCAGCAACCACGGATTCCTCCAGGAGAGGTGCAGCCCCCTCCCCAGTTCGTGGAGCACCCTATGCTATGCTCCTGTACTCAGGTCCAAGAAATGAAAGCACAAAACGAAATATGGTCTGCCCTTCAAAGGAAGAATTTAAAGGGCCTTGTGAAGGTCACGAGGACCCAGATGTGGTTTGATTTGATAAAGGCAGGAACAGAGAGAAACTGGATGGAAAGTCTAATAGAATCTTACTGAAGCTGTGGCAACAACTGAAACCAGGGCAGCAGTTCTGGCCACTGAGGACGGAGAAGCAGAAGCCAAAGGCAACAAGATCAGCCTGTGCGCAAGATTTTCTGCTAGGGAAGGTGGGTATTATAAGGCCCACCCATGGTCCTTTTGGTTAACTCATTTGAGTAGAACTGGTTTGAATACAGCCAGGATGACCACTTGGAGGCAATGGATCTCCTCAGGCTTGAGGGTTATTATAATTTATCGTAATTTTTGTTATTTGTATATTGTGGTAGCCTCTGTTATTATGGAATTTGGTTACAATGTTCCAGCCTCCTTGCACAAGGATGACTGCAGAGGATTGAGGGCACACAGATGGAAGAGGCGAGGATCCTGGAGGGGTGGAGTGTGGATAAAGTGAAGGTTTGTATGGCCAGGATTCTCACCTGGCCCTGGTTGGCTACCTCACTACATACACATAGGCAATATGTTGCTATAGACTATATAAAGAGCTCTGCCCAGTGCTCTGAGTGACATGGTGGCATGGCCGAATGACTGCAGGAGAACAGAGACTAGAGTGGTGGCAGTGCCAAGGACAGAGACTGAGACAGCTGTGGAGGCGGAGAGGCCCAGAGGCAGAGACTGGCCTGCTGCATGCAGACTCACTCTGAGTGGATAGAATTCTAGTGATTGACCTGCTACCGTGGGAATAAACTTGGGTATAAACCCTTTCACCCCAAGAATGTTCCATGTCTTTGGTCTCAATGAATCTATAGTGAACTTGCCCAGGGTGGAAACCCATGGCAGGACAGTGGAGCAAAGTGGGCTGGGAGCCCTGGAGCCAGAGTGGGCCACAAAGGAGGCCTGTCTCCCAGGGATGAGCCTGCCTGCTTCCGTGCTGTGAGGCCTGTGTGACAAGGGGCGGCTGTGGGGGCAGGGCCTCGGTCACTCGGGTTCCCTGCTGTGGCACCCTCCATGCAGTCTCTCCACTAAAGTGGCAGCACCTCCTCTGGACATCAGGCGGGTCCCCACATGGGTCTCTGTGGCTCTCCCCACGCTGAGGTTGTCTGGTCGGTGCCTGGACGAGACTATGGGCTCTGACAGGGCAGAAACCAGGGCTGATGGTGACCCAGTGCTGGCACACAGGCAGCCTGCTGAGGGAATGAGCCCCTGCAGAGTTTTCATCTGTCCCGTCTTCAGTAAATTCACTCTGAATTCTTTTAAACTGGACCAGCGGTGTGAGCCAGTCTTTCCCATCACATGTTTCTAACATCAAGAAACTCTCAGGACTTTAGAAACTGCTGGTTCTGAAAGAAAACAAAAGCAAGCCCTTCTAATCCCGTGAACACAGCACCACTTACAGCACTTCGGGGGCATCCTGGTGGGAGTTCCTGTTTTCAGACCCCGCCCCACACCTCACCCAGTTCTCCCAGTGCCCGATTCCCCACGAGCCTGAGTCAGACGGCACAAGTTTCCTGTCCCCACAACGACTCCCACCACCACTGCAGCTGCAGGGACAGGGCAGACCCAGGAGACCCCAGGCTGCCCCTGCAGGGCTGTGCAGCCACAGACTGACTTCTGCGCCGTAAATGCACCTGAGGCCAACATACTGCCCCATACTTCAGCCAATCCTTGGAAATATTTTCTGGGATTGCTTCTGAAGGGCAAACCAACCTAACTAGAAACCTTAGCAGCAACTTGTGAGCTCAGGATGGAGTCCCATGGCTTCAGCACAGCACAGAAGGCCCTGCCTCGGGTGTCACACTCAGCCAGCCCCAAATACCCTGCCCTTGTTGTGCTCCCTCCGCCTCCCTCCCAGCCTCTGCTGGAAAGGCCCTTCTCCCATCATCCAGAATGCCCTCACAGGGAGCCCCTGGGCAGTAGGGATGCCTCATCGGCCCCACCTGGCCTGGGGGGGGGGTGACATGTACCTGTTCCCCAGCTTTTGAGGATGTGGCTCCTAAGGCTGCTCCTGCCCTAGCACAGCGGTAAGAGATGCTTCTGGAATGCAGGTTAACAGCCACCCAGCTCCCCAGGAACCTCAGTGAAGTCACAGGAAGAGCAGCAGGTAAGAAGAGTGTGTGCCAGCCAACTACGGGAACCTGTCTCATCCATGTGAACTACAGAAAAGTTTCCCTCCCATCTGCGGTGCACTAAACCAAGCTTACACTGTGTGACTGAGATTTCCCAGTATTTTTAATAAGTATGGTGAAGTATTTAAGGATATGCATTTATTTCTAATACAAAAAATTCCCTCCAGCTGACCCTGCACCGAGAACCGTGGCTCATGCCTAACACCTCTTTCTCGCCATTCTCGAATACATGCCATCCTGTGGACCCCAGTGAGAATCATTCACAACTTCCCCAGACACATTATGTGTCTTCCTTCCATCCACGGATGACATTAGTGGCCAAAATGTCTACCTGAAATGTGCCTATGTCTTCTGGTTTCCATAGAATGTTCCTATTTCTGAATGATCAAAGGTGGTGTCTTCAAATCACCAAGGGGGTGCCTGAGCCTCCATACGGCCCTGCTGAGCAGCAGGTACGGCTAACTCTAAGGTCACCACACCTGGCACGCCTGGATCACCTCCTTCAAGGCCTTCAGCACCTCCATGCTTCTGTCCTTCACAGCCATAGCAAGGAGGATGGCTTTGTTTCCGGCTTCTTGAGACACAGACGTCACCAGGTTCTTTGCAAAGACATGGATGAGAGGCTGGTGAAGGGAAGGGGAGAAACCTATTTCAAATGTAAACTTTCCCTTAATGCCTTCACTACACAGCCCTCAGGAAACCAGACTGGCTTCCGGTTCCTCCAGTAAAACATTGCCCCATATGTTGGATGTCAACAGTGATTCAGAGTTCAATGAGACTCCTGAACACACCCGTTACAAATGAGCTGCTTTTAAAAAGGCATCAAGAATTTCTTAGTGCCTTGATTCCTCTGTATCATCCTGCTATTTCTAATCTGCAAGGACTCATGAGAGACAAGTCTGCAGAGCGGAACTGTCAAATCTCACAGGCAACCTTTGCAGAACAGAGCAGACAGCTGCTCATTACTGTATCATGAAAGGGTCAGACTGAAGGGGAGGCCCGCATTACAAAATCAATACCCCTTCTGTCTTTTGGGTAAACTGCAGATGGGCTTGGAAGAGCATCCAACAAGGGCAGATGGATGCCCTCGGCCCCACAAAGGCCACGGAAAATGCTGTTACCCGGTGAGGGGGGCGCGTCTACCAGAAGCTCCACGCCCACATTGGCAAAGCTATGGCCACCAAAGCATTTTTTCCTGCACTGCAGGGATCCCTGCCCATTTTACCTCATCCTGTCCCAGAAGGACTCTGGTGGTGAGTATGGGCTTGCTGATGTCACCGGCCACACTGGTGGGTTCCAAGGCGACTAGGGTACCCATCTTCCCGAACTGGGTCACCACCACTAGGACGTGACTGCTGAACGCTGTGCAGACCACCTGGGTGGGGACCCCACACACCTCGGCAGTCTTCTGCTTTGATGTCACCAAGGGTTTCCCTTCCATGGCTGGGTCTCTTCAATGGCACTTTACGTTTAAAAGGGAGAAAAAGGAGTCAGTCAGTGCCAGATCGCCCTGGGGCTCCGAGATAACCACCCTTTGACCGTAATCCACAAACACAAGCAAGCCCATTCAAAGCATCAGTCTATGGGCACTTCAGGGCTGCACCTGAACTTTCTGGAGTCCTAGAGCAGGCACGCGGCACAGACAGGCAGGCCGGGCAAGGCCGGCGGCAGGTCAAACAAACACACGTCTGTCTACAGGCAGGTGGGCAACACACCATACGCCGAGGGCCGTCCCTCGCTACTGCAGCCCCGCCGTGCTGAGGCCTCACCGTATGCGTCGGGGGAACGACCGGCGCCACCGGAGGGAGCAGCACCGCTATCCCAGCGGCGCAAAGGGATGAGCGCAGGGGGGAGATGCGGGCGCGGCGCGGATGCCAACCGCCACAACCGCGCGCCGCCAGCCACGCCGTCCCCGCTCACCGGGCCGCAACCGGAAGTGACGCACGGGGGCTATGCGGGCCTGCCCGCTCGCCCGGCTGCCACCACCGGAAGTGCAATCTGCGGGGCCTCGGGTCCCTGCGGGGCGTCCAGCCCTGAGCCGCTGGGTTCCGTGCTCCGGAAAAGGGCTCGCTGTGCTGGGACGACGCTGCGGCTCCACCCACTGGCCTCGGCCCCGGGCTTTCCGGACAGGGGCCTCAGGCTTCTCCGGAGGGGTCGTCGTGGGCCCCCGATCCCTTCTGACGCGCAGAGGTGGGCGGAGGCAGAGCCAGGCGGGGTCAAAGCGCTCGGGAAGCGGGTTTCTTCCGGGACTCCCCCCGGGCTCGGTCCAGCGGGGCAGGGGTCCCCGGGGACGCGCAGCCGGGGGCGGCGGGTAGGGGGCTCTTGCCAAGGACCGGCTCGGCCGGTGCCTCTGCCGCCTCATCGGCGAAGGGGGTTTTTGCCCAAACTGGGAAATGCGATGACAACACCGAAGTCCAAAGTCCAGGCCGAGCTGTAAGAGAATTGGGGGCAGTCTGGGCAGTTCAGTCCTGGAGGGGAGCTGTGCCTGCCTGGGAGAAGCCAGGGGCCCTTGGAACCCCTCTGGTTGTCCGGAGGTCTCTATCCTCAAAGGCCGCTGAAGGATACCCTCCACGTCCAGGGAGTAAGAATAAACGCTTATTTGGCACTTAGTGTGTGTTAGTCCGGAGAGAGAAAATCCCAGGGCAAAATACCTCTAAAAACCGAAATCAAAGGGAGAAAAAAGTGTAAAACCCGTTTATTGCTCATAAACTGCAGTCCCGGGCCGTTTTTCTCTTCTCTGGAAGAAGCCAGCAAGCACGCAACCCAGCCCCCTCCCCTTAACGTCTCAGGTTCAGACACGCCCTCGGTTGCTCAGATAATTTCCTATTGATGTGGAGATGAACTTCTCTCCACCCCTGAAGATAGCAAATACACTAAAGCCAGGAGAGATATTCTGGAAATATTGTAATTTTACCCACAGTGTACCAGGTATTATTCGAAGTGCTTTAAGTATTATAGTAATTCACTTAATCTTAACCCCGTTAAGTAGAAACACTGTTACCCGTGTTGTAGACAGGAAGTTCAGGTTCACAGAATTTGCTCACCCAGGCCACAAAGCCGATAAGGGCGGGATCTAGGCTTCAGCCTTTACCCTTAATGACCGGCGTGGCGATCCCTACGCCCAAGTACAGGGGAAGAGGAGGGCAGCAGGATGGTTTCTGGTTACTCCCAGGGATCCCTGAGAACCCCTACTGCTTACCCTGCTGTGGATAAAATTGCAACATTTCCAGATTATCTCGCCCGGCTTTACTTCATTTGCATATCCTCAGGGGTGGAGAGAAGTTCATCTCCATGTCAGTGGGTAATTACCTGGGCAACTGAGGGCGTGTCTGAACTTGAGAGTTTAAAGGGAGGGGCGGGCTTGCTTGCTTCTTTCCAGAGCAGGGGAGAGACGGCGGTGGACTGCAGTTTGTAAGCAATAAACGAGTTTTAAACTGTATTTCTCCCTTTGACTGATTTCGGTTTTTAGAGGTATTTTGCCCCGGGATTTCCTTTCCCCAGATTTACACCTGGCGGAAGTCGGTAGGGTTCCACTGAACCCGTAATCTGCCATAATGGATGCGACCTTTGGGAGGGCTGCTCCTGTGGATGGTGGGGAGGCCCTAGTGGATGCAGCGGCCGAGGGTGCCGCTTCACCTGTTATTATTTCCCCAGCTGTGAGGCTTCCAACTTGGGAACCCCTAGTGGGGAATTGGTCTGGGGTAAAGTACCTCCTAGAGGGGTGGGGCCTTCCCCAGAAGTGGGGAAGGGTGAAAACACCGAAAGCTGCAGAATTAGCCCTCCGTGAGTTGGAAGACTGCTTGGAGACCTTAGGGGGTAGTGTAGTGGCTGGCATTGTAGGGTCTCTTTTCATCGAGATACTGGAAGATGTTATACAGGAGAAAGAGAGGATTATCTAGAGGATTAGCGAGGAGAAAGGGATTTAGTGGGGAGAGAGACACAATCGCTTGGAGGAGCTGGGTGATAACCTATGGGATGCTATTAAAGAAGAGAGTTACTGGAAAGACAGGTCCCGCTCCTAGGCGACTCCGTAGTGGCAAGGGGGGGTAGGCAGCAGGAAAAGCCACGTTGCAGGAGGCTGTGGGAGAGGGGGAGGAAAGAGTGGGGCCTTCAGCCCTGGAAATGGTGGAGGAGGAGCTGTTGGTGGAGAAGCCCGAGGGAGAAGAGGAGGATGCGGGGCCACTGGCGGATCTGCTACCCAGGCCACCACCGGAGGTACCATCTTCGCCTGTTTTAAAGGCCCGCCCAGCTGTAATTAAGAAAATAAAAATGAAACAACTGTGGGCTCCTCATGGGGACAAGCAGCCCCCTCCCCAGGTTGTGGAGCATCCATGCTCCACCCCTATACCCAGAATGAGCTGGTGGACATGAGCATCAGGTATAGGCAGAGGTCATCGGAATTTCTACCTACATGGCTTTTATGTCTCTGGGATATGGGGGTGGAAAACATTGTTGAGTCAGGTACTTCCCTAGCGATTCACCCTTCCCTCCGACAGTGGTTGCAAAATGCCCATCACAACTCAGGGAATCAGACACTCCTGGAATGGCTGACAGCTGCCATCAGGATAGTTTGGCCTAATCAGGGTGATTTACCATATTCTCCCAGTAGTTGGAAAACATATGCTGAGCTCCAACAGGTACTGTGGGAATTGGGTATGAAAAACATCATCTATAATATGGACCCCCAGGGCCCTGATGAGGAGGTGCTCACTGAAGGAATGAGAAACCTGGTGCTGCATACAGCTCCCACATCTCTCTTTGGGTCCCTAGTGAATACTCTTGCTCCCCACCTAGGGTGACCCATAAGTGAGGCTACTCATACTTCAGCAAAGCTGGGGGAGGTTGAAACAATAAGGGCACTGGGAGAGGGGGGTGGGGAGAAGTACGGGCCACTACTGAAAGAAGAAGTGCAAAAGGCCCCATGAAGGTCTCGAGGACTCAGATGTAGGTTGATTTGATAAAGGCTGGGGTAGTGAAAGGAAAACTCGATGGGCAGCCCAATAGAATATTGTTAGAACTGTGGCACCAATTAAAGCCAGAGCAGCAGTTCAAGCTGCTAAGGTCCAGGACACAGAAACCAGAGTCAAGGCCTCATGTCTGGCCTGTGTCCCTGCAAAACTTCCTGGGGGACAGTACTTAGGATTTGCCTGAGCCCTCACCCCCACAGGAGGATGATTGGGCACCGCGGTTTGACTGAGGGTGGGGGGTTCAAAGTCCCCACCTTGGGGAACATGGCGGGGACCAGAGGCCACATGTAGAATTAGCAGTTCATTGGGCCCCTGTGAATGTAACATGTCCTGGTGCTGGTGGACACAGGAGCTGAGTGTTCTCTGATTCATGGCAACCCTGAGTGTTTTACCAGGACCCCTACTGTGACAGATGGCTATGAAGGTAAGGCAAGTAGAGTGAAGAAAGCCCAAATCTCATTGGGGATAGGGCATTTACCCCCAAAGGAGTATACCGAGTACATTTTTCCCATCCCTGAATAGATTTGGGGGGTAGATATCCTGCAGGGCCTGTGGTTACAGACCACTGCAGGTGAGTTCAGACTGAGGGTACGTGTGGTAAAGGCAGTTCTGAGAGGATATGCCAAGCACCCACCTGTAGCTCTGCCTGTACCTCAGTGGGTGACAAATATTAAGCAGTATAAATTGCCTCGGGGGCACAAGGAAATTGGAGAAACTCTGTAGGAGTTGGAGAGGGTGGGCATCATAAAGCACACTCATAGTGCTTTTAATTCCCCAGTGTGGCCAGTGAGAAAGCCAGACAGCTCCTGTATGACTGTAGACTAATTGAATAAAGTCTCACCCCCTTTGCATGCTGCTATTGCCTCTATAGCAGACATTCTGGACACCCTCAGCCATGAGCTGGGAACATATCATTATGTAGTAGACCTTGCTAATGCTTTCTTCTCTATTGACATAGCACAGGAAAGCCAGGAACAGTTTGCCTTCACGTGGGAAGGCCGGCAGTGGACATTCACTGTCCTTCCACAGGGATATCTCCACAGTCCCACCATCTGTCATGGACTTGTGGCCCAGGACTTGGCCACATGGAGGAAACCGCAAACAGTGCGGTTGTATCACTACATTGATGATATTATGCTCCCATCTGATTCTCTTTCAGATTTAGAAGGGGCAGTTCCTAGACTGTTGCAACATCTATAGGAAAAAGGATGGGCTGCAAACAGCACCAAGGTTCAGGGACCTGGTTTGTCTGTGAAATTCTTGGGGTTGTCTGGTCAGGTAAAACTAAAGTTGTTCCTGAAGCAGTTATAGACAAGGTCCAGGCTTTCCCCACTCCTACCACTGTGGCAGTATAGTATTACAAGAGTTTTTGTTTTATTTGGGCTACCGGAGAGTGTTTATCCTGCACTTGGCACAAATCCTGAAGCCCTTATACCAGTTGGTACGAAAGGTGGGACTGGGATGAGGCATGTGCAGCTGCTTTTACTGCTGCCAGGCGGGCAGTCAAGGCCATACAGGCCTTGAATGTAATGGACTCATCAAGGGCCTGTAAACTAGATGTTCATGTAACTGAAGATGGTTATGGATGGGGCCTTTGGCAGCAGCTTGAATGGACACACCAACCTACTGGATTATGGTCACAGCTATGGAAAGGAGCAGAGGTCCAGTACACTTTGATAGAGAAGCAACTGGGTGCTGTGTACCATGCCTTGCTGGCTACGGAGCGCATTGCTGGAACACTTCCCACCAAGTTAATAACAACCTATCCCATCGCGGGGTGGGTTGCGAGACTGGACCCAAAGGCCACGGAGTGGCGTGGCACAGACACCTACACTGGCCAAATGGGGTGTATTTTACAGCAGCGCAGCGCCCTCTCTACTAGCCCCTTAAGTGGAGAACTCCAATGCTTATTGGGGCCAGTGACCTATACCAGTGGAAAGCAGGAAGAACTTGCTTTTGAGTCATTGGTAGCTGACACCTCTTATCAGGAGGGAAAAGCCCCTCTACCTGAAGATGCTTGGTGCACAGACGGCTCCAGTCATGGGCAGCCCCCGAAGTGGAGGGCTGTGGGTTTCCATTCTAAGACTGAGACAATATGGATGGAGGAGGGAGAGGGAAAGAGCAGCCAATGGGCTGAGTTGTGGGCAGTATGGCTCGTGATCATCCAGGAGCCTTCCCCTATAGTTGTCTGCACTGACAGCTGGACCGTCTATCAGGGCTTGACCCTGTGGCTACTGACATGGTATCATGCCAATTGGTTGGTTGGTCACTGGCCCCTTTGGGGGCGAGAGTTGTGGCAACTAAGAGTGTTACTGTATGTAATGTGACTTGCCATTTGCCTTTGGCATCCTCAGGGAATGATGAAGCAGACACATTGGCCCAGGTGTGCTGGCTAGAAGGAAAGCCTGCCTC